ACAAAGTCGAATTACTGTCCTTAGGGTGGCCACACACGTCCGACTTTGCAATATCGATTACAAAAATTCGATGCAAGTAAAATCGAACTACTCTCGCAGTGTAGACAAGGCCTAAGAGAAACAGCAGGGGCTTTTCTACCTAATAGGCTGTGAGGGCTTGTCAAACCAAGCACAGTAATATAAAAAGAGCCTCTCTTGAAGGTTTCATAGATATAAAGGCAAACTTAGGGAGGTTGTGGAATCTTCATCATTGGAGATTTTTAAGAGCAGGTTGGATAAACACCTGTCAGGGATGGTCTAGATAATATTTAGTCCTGCCTTGAGTGCAGGGGACTGGACTAGATGACCTCTCAAGGTCCCTTGCAGTTCTATGATTCTATGAAACTTCTAATTTGTCATCCTGTGGGGAGCGGTATCCTGTACTAAGGAACAGTCTATAAAACTAGCCTTGATCCTCTGGAAAATTACCTATGTTGAAAATGCAAAGGAGAGAAAGAGAGGGGCCAGACGATGTGTCTGACAGTGGTGGGATGTGGTGGCACTTTTAATGGTGCTGTTCCATAAAAATGAGGGAGGTCATATTTTAGTATGCTTTGTCCCCATTAGAAAAATAGGAGAAACTGTTTCTATGTGGATGGAAATAACTGTTTTGACAGAATCTTCTTAAAAATGTGTTGCAAACAGCCATCCATCCATAGAGATAAGAAAGTGAAGTAAAGCATGACATGCAGTGCATTATCAAGCAACAATTACTTTTCATATGTAAGAAATCTAAAGTTCCAGAGAAGCCTGTCTTTTGATATCATTAGAAGAATATGTATATTGGAGACAGGTTTCAGTGTGGATTATTCATTGAGCAAGTTACAGTTCAGGTGGGCCCAATAGCTCCTGTAAATGAAATGCTGTCTATCGCATAATGCGGAAAAAAGTAAAGAGCTCCATAAGGGGAAGAAAGATTTGGCTATGAACATTTGTAACTTTCCAACATTGATAGGTTGCACAGGTTTGAATGATTTTTAAAACCAGAATTGTCTAAAAAGTTACAACTCATTGAAATGGTCAACAAATGTCTTCCGGGTTTCTCACCACATTGAATGAACTTAGATGTTTCTCAATTTAGTGCATTGAATTTCTCAAAGTGGAACTACATGGAAGATGTGTGACATTATCTCTCTTATGTTTTCAGAGAATAGCTGCTATAAAGCAGGCCTTGAATGCACATAACATCAGCTTCTTCCTGAGGGAAGGATACTGGGTCTTAGTGACGTTAGCCAGCTCTGATTCAGGTAAAAACCCCAATCTGTAGATTGCTATTAGAGTTCTGAGAGAAGTGTCAGATTAACTGGTTTCTTCTGCTGTTTATTAATGTAAAATATACCATCAAAGCAACTTATTTTACTATTTTTCATTGTTTGTTTCATTGTGATACCCTGTTAGAAGCTTGAAAATATTTTTTCTCCCACTTTTGTCCTTTTCACTAAAATGTAAACAGATTATCAAACGCTGGCCAGCTTATACAGGCACAAATTGAAAGCACAGTTTTGGACACTCAGATATCAGGGTCCTCAATTTGCCAGCCTGTAAGTATTTGGACCCACAGATCCAACCCTACAAAAATAGAGGCAAGGACTGAAAAGTTTTCTGCATTTGTGTGTTGGGTGTTTTATGAAGGGAGCATACAACGAAGAGGTTGTATTTTAGCAGCAAGGACAGCTTCAACTTAAGCCCTCCCTGACAATGTCAAAGCCTCTTTGTTTGTGCATGTGCACGTGCATCATCTTTCATGACATCTGTTCTGTTTGTTGCTGAATGACACTGACCCAGCAAAAAGAGCAAAGCATATTGGGCTCTATTTAGATGTGTCATAAATAGTGATGTAAATTGTATTGCCAAGTCAGTTCCCAGGTCAAAATAAGGCACATCCTCTCTATATCTTAGGTTCCACTGTATACACCCACCACTGTAGTTTCTAATCTGAAAAAAAAATGAGGTAGAAATCACTTGCGTTAAGAGTCAATATACTCTGGTAGCAAGAACAGGGACTAGAAGTGAGGAGTCCTGAATTCCATTCTAAACTCTGGCACTGTGTAACTGTGCAAGTCAATTGACCTTACTCTCTCTCAGTTTCCTCATCTGTAAAATGAATATAGTAATGTTTATGTATCTCATATAATAGAGAAATGTGAAGGCTGATTGACTATTGCCTACAATACCTTTGGAGATCCTTGGAAAAATGGCACTATCCATGCAAATAATTACATTATCATTATTTATTATTTCATTTAAATTTGTCCTCTCTCCTGCATCCACAAATTGGTCTGCAAATTAGTTTATGGCGCTGCCTATTTTACTTCTGGGGGAATTCTGCGCCCTGCAGGAGGTGCAGAATTCATACCTTGCTCAGATTTCTTGGCTCCCCCACAGAAAAATGAGGGAGCAAAGAAATCTGTGGGGAACACATGCCCCTTGCATGACAGCCTGGGCATGTCTGCTGGGAGCAACCAGCGGCAGAGAGCAGATCACTGTGGGGAGAAGGAGGGAGGCCGGGCATGTATGCCTGAGATCATGGAGAGACAATAATGGGGTGGGGCTGGGTGCCTGCCTGGGTGCGAATGAGTGAGAGACTCACTGACCCTCTCATCCCTGTTGCTGCATCCTGAGCTTGGAGGTGTAGGGGTGTGTGAAGCAGGCTCTGTCCCTGCGGCAGAGCAGAAATGTAACAACTAAACAGGCTGCTCATGTTCCCACTGTTAGTTAATTGTTCCCATTCTTAGTCAATTAAGGCTCTTTTACCTTGCCAGAGTGGTGTAAAGAAGCCATATTGTAAATGATAGCAACAAAACCCTCATCTAGGAAGGTCTATGTCAGTGGTTCTCAGTGACCCTTTTCACATAGCAAGCCTCTGAGTGCGACATTAAAAACACTTTAAAATATATTTAACACCGTTATAAATGCAGGAGGCAAAGTGGTATTTGGGGTGGAGGCTGACAGCTCACGACCCCCCATGTAATAACCTCGCGACCCCGTGAGGGATCCCAACCCCCAGTTTGAGAACCCCTGGTCAATGTGCTTTTTCCTGATCCAGAGAGGCACAATGGGGTTAGATTACAGCTCAGGATCTATTTTACTTATCCATTTAAAAAAATGCAGGACAATGATTAGCAAAACTGTATGACTTTCATGTGTGAAAGTCTGAGCAATTTAAAGCGACCTTCTATTTTACAGAACACCAAAATAAAAGTAATGCAATTTAAATGAAAATCCAGGATTATAATTAGAATGCAGGGTCTTGGTTACCAAGTATTTGTAACTGAACTTTCATGTGTTTAGGAAATGCTGAACAGTTATTACAATTTTTTTTCTGTATCATAGTTTAAATAAATTACCAAAATAAGTGAAACTGGTGTGATTATATTGCATTATTCTGACAAATAAAATATGCAGAATTTTGGAAAAAAAATTTGGCGCAGAATTCCCCCAAGAATACTATTTGAAGAAGCTACATGGTGTAGTGACAAGGAGAAGGTATAAATACAAATCTAGTGGTTTTTACTTAAGAGATTCAATAATAAGGCAAGCCCAAGATGATGACTGGTCTGAAAGCAGATTTACTGAGTTCTTCAAATATATGTCTTGCATTTCAGACTCTCAGAGGATTGGAGGAGGCAGTGGATACTGGGCTATAGTGGTTCTCTTTGTTATCTGTCTAGTTGTAGTTGGGGCCTTCATTCTCTACAAGTTTAAAAGGCAAGTAAACCTTATATACTTTAAGAATCAGATTTGTTCACATGTATCATTTCTTGAAAAATAGACTTTTTTGAAGCAATGCACTGACGAGTCTCAAGCTTTTAAAACTTATGTTTTTTCTGAACGTTTCAGACATCAAGGTTATAATTGATGTTGATGTAGGTAAATAGCAGCAATGTGGGAGCTCATTCAGCTTGCGTCAATACAACCACCAAAAAATAGTCATTCTAAAATATATTCCTAATTATCTACTCTGAGGAGTAATGAGTAACCTAGGCAACCAGGACAATTAATTGATCCACAAGTCTAATTTCTTACCAAGAAAACAAAACAAAACAATGTGGAATTTCTCTTTTGAACATGTTAGAGTTTGATTACTGAAACAGTGCCACACAGGTTAAGAGTATCCAGCTGTGATAGAAATAATAAGTAAGAATACAGTTCGCACGATAACATATTAGGGAGGAGGTGAAGAAGCTATGGAAGTGGCCTTAATATAAGAAATGTGTTCATGAGGAACAACTGATACCACATAAGCTGTGTAAGCAAATACTTATTCCTTTAATAACTCAAAGACATTTTTAATCTGCATTTGATTATGGAGATGAATTCATTATTGTTCAGGTGGCAAGTTACTGGCTTTTTTATGCTGGTTTATGTATTTGTTTTATTATTTGGACATGGTCCTGGTATTTTTTTGTTAGGTACTCAAAAGCCTTCAGGTTTGAGCAACGTGGGAATAAACATTTATTATCATTTCACAAAATCTTCAGTCCTAACTCAGTGAAAACACCTGTTGATTAGGCCCATTATTATTTCAAGATGGATTTTTATTTAAAATAAACATTCTTTTACAGAATAGACTAGGTAACATACTGTGCTAGTGATAACAGCAAAAGTACAGCATTTAACTGAGAGTTCAAGTTAGCAACTATCTTTGTCATCTCATCAGACAGAGGTGCTTTGTCTCATGTAGGAAGAATGTTTTGGCTTTCCAACTGTGGAATCTTAAATTTCTTGATATTTAGAGTGACTTATTGTTTTATAGAACGAAACACAAAATTTGATATCAAACTCTATCTACAGCTGAATAAAAATAATAAAAATCCATTTAGCTATTCTGGGTTCCCAGAGCAACAAAAAAATCATCATAAAAATTGATGATGTGATGCTATAATATTTCATTTGCAGTACATTGGGGGTTGTCTGTTTGTATTACATGATCATAAAACTCGGTGGTGGTGTCTGTTATGAGACATTGGGATGTACACCTCTTGATTAGCCCTTAAGTTGGAGGCAATTAGACAACAGACACATCTTGATTCCTTTCTAAAATGTCCTCTTGGCTTATTATTTTCTGAATGGCACAGTTATTGCAGAGGAAGACTGTAGGAATGCTAGGAATTGTAACACGGCTTTAACTCCCCTAATACACTGGAATTTCTCAGTTGAACAAATCAAACTTCAGAGCAGAATCTCACAGCATCATGCAGCCCCCAGCAAAATTTGATTCTTCTGAAATGGAAAGTGGATGATCCACCAAAGCAGGGTGCTTAGAGACAGATATCACTAGAAATGGGTTAATCACCTGAAGCAGAGGCTCACCTATGAGTCCAGCTTAAATTCATGAGTGCACATGCGTCATAAGAGCACATTCCTCCCAGAGTGAAAAAATGCAGAGTAAAGATTCCCTAGAACTGAGATTCATAAAAACAGAGTATCTGCAGTGATCTCTCCTACAGTGCAATAAAAGACCCACAGCCTGGCCACGGCTGGCCTTGGTTGGCTGACTCGTGCTTGTGGGGCTAAAACTTGCAGCATAGACATTCAGGTTTGGGCTGGAGCCCAGGCTCTGAGACCCCACGATGGGAGAGGGTCTCAGAGTCTGGGCTGCATCCTGAGCCTGAATGTCTACACTGCAATTTTTAGCCCTGAAGCTAAGCCCCATGGCCCTGAGTCAGTTGATCTGGTCTCTGAGACTGGGTGCTGCAGGTTTTTTATTGCAATGTAGACCTCTAGACCTCTAGAGAGCAAACATTATCCAAGGACAGGAATCCCCAGAGCACTTAGTTTTATAGGACCAAGATCCACAGGAGTAGTTGGTCCACCTAGACAGAGATTGACAAGCAGCAAGTAACTAAAGTGCTATGATCAGAGGCTATACTTCCTACTACATTTTTAAAGTTATATAAGTTTTCAAAAGATAAAGTTATATAGTTTTCAAATACAAATCCTAAATTTCTTCCATCCCAGTAGTTAACGAACAATGTTTTATACCAGCATTATCTCAAATTTTTGTTATTATGGGATTGGAGTGAGGAGAAGGGGTAATTTCCCTGGTGGCAAATGCTGCTGAAGCAAGAAACAGTTCAGAAAATAAAACTGAATATCTCAGCGGCAAAAAGATCTCCTCCTCCTCTTGTCTTCCAACTGCATGCATTAGACAATTAACATGGTGCCTCAAGCTAATGATATGCTGCCAGATTCACTAGTATGCTCCATCAGCTTAACCATCCAGATAAACCAGGATCATGGCGTGTCCTGTCACTGGAACAGCATAAAGCAGCTGGAAGGTTCCAGTGACCCTGGCCCATTATCTAGCAAGGCTTCAGAATCTGCATATTATTTCTCAAAGCAATGTCATCTTTATTAGAGGTAATTCAATCAAAGAAAAATCCTCCCTTTCTTTTTCTGATGTATTTTTATGTTTGTGATGTTTTTCCTAGTAGGATTTCTTCATGCCTTCAGCAGCACTCTGAGCAGGGTTCCATGGTGTGGGGCACTCTGCAGTAATATAGACAAGATAAACAGCACAGTATCCACCAAGCAAAGGCAAGGGAAGGGAAATGATATTTCACCCACATCAAAGCTGTCATGTATTTAATACATCACTAGCAGAAGAGCTGAAATCGTCCTTCTTTTATTTTTGCAATAGCAGGAACATAGGGTTCATCATACCAGATTAGACTATTGGTTCCTCTATTTAGGTATTTTGCCTACTTTAGCATTTGATTCTTCAGAAGGAGAGAAAGATCTCTGCCTTTTCACATTCTCAAATTCCTCCTCTCCCTCTCCCCTCCCCATTCATTTTAAAATCTGTTAAAAATTACATTCATTATTTTTAAAAATCTCCATAGACATGCTGCAAGCAAACTCATGGATCTTTCTCTGTATTCACCTCCTTGCATCCTGTCCTTGGGCCCCACCAACCTGCACCCAATTTCAGCACTCTTGGAGCAGAGTTTCTAATCTTTCCTCATCGTTGACTTCCCATCTCATTTACACTTTCAGAAGAAAACCTCCCCCTTTCCCCCTTCGCCTGTACTACTATTATGTTGCATGAGAGCAAGTGTAGTCCCAATCCTAGCCATTTAGTTATAAAAACAGGTACTGATTTGATGATCCATATTTTATTAAAATCAAAATAATACCCTGTAGAAAAGACAGGCTTCTAAAATGAATGGGACAAAGTAAATCATGATTGCTCTAAAGCACAAAGAAGTCATTCATCTGAACATTAACCCCAAAACTAACACCACAATAAATATTCTATTCAATGTATTATTATTATTGTTATTGTTACTTTAAGTGCTGACAGCATGCTCCAGTACTCTGTATTATTTACATTTCAAAATGTTTAATAGTGGGAAACAGTAGGAGGGGGATTAGAGAAAGATGGCTTAACAGATACGCTATTCCTAGTGTATAGACACACTCTTTAAGCCCAATAGTAGTATCTGCCTTCTGAAGCCAGTGATTATGGTTTATTATGCAATTTTGTTCATTTTCTAGAGGATAGATTAAGCGTTTCTATAGAATATAATATGCATATAGCAAACAGTGTATGTTCTAGGCTTATTAGGGTTGTGTAATGTAGAAAAAACATAGCCCTACTGTCCAGAATAATTTCTAGAAAGGTGTGGGACCAGGAGACCATACATATAACTCTAAACTCTTATACATCAGAATTCCTGTTTAAATATTTATTTAAAAGCTGCTGAAGCTTTGTTGTAGCATGAATTGTGTTAGGGCACCTAGAGCCTGGTGTCAACATCTTTTTATCATTATTTAAATAAACATAAATAAAGAAGAGTGTGTTATCTCCTGGTTATGAAGACTCTTGGAGCCAGGACTGGGCGCTTTCATTTGCTATATATATATTTAAATCTTTTCAGTATGTTTCAATATTGTACAACACTGTGACTACCTCAGCAGAGGGGTTGATGGAGACACTATGGAAATTAAACTATGATGTCATATTGCTATTATTTTCAGCTGGGCCACTGACTCTATGCAACTGGGGCAGTTTGCTCTACCTCTCTTGTCCTCAGCAGCTGTTAAATTGAGGTAACCTCAGGGCTGCTGTAGTCAGGGCCGGCTCTGGCTTTTTTGCCGCCCCAGGCAAAAAAGCCTCCCGCCGTCCCCCGCGCCCCCCCCCCCAGCGCGGCAGGGGAGGGCACCGAGCCCGGCCGCAGGCCGCTCTCCCCAACCGGCCAGAGTGCCGGGGGGAGGGCGGCGTGGCTCTGCTGGCGGCCGGAGCCCCGGGAGGAGGGCGGAGAGCCCGGCCGGGGCTCCGCTCTCCCCAGCGGCCAGAGTGCCGGGAAGAGGGCGGCGAGCTCGCCGCGGCTCCGCTCTCCCCGGCGGCCAGAGCGCCGGGAGGAGGGCGGAGTGGCTGCCAGAGTGCTGGGTGGAGGGCGGAGAGCCCAGCCGGGGCTCCGCTCTCCCCGGCGGCCAGAGCCGGAGCACCGCGCCGCCCCCCTCCAGGTACCGCCCCAAGCACAAGCTTGGTGGGCTGGTGCCTGGAGCCGGCCCTGGCTGTAGTACAGTGTTTCTCAACCAGTGGGTCACGACTCCCAGGGTCACAAAAGGCAATCAGCAGGGGCAAGGGGTACGAGGCACTGAAAATTTAATTACAATTTGAAAAGCTTGCTCCCCCCACACTCTGACCCGTGAAGGTCAAGTATTGACTGCCAATCTCTCGAAACAACACACACATAAACATATTGTTGTTAGCACTGATACAAGGTCACAAAATTGTTTTAACTTTGAATAAGCAGTTGTCATACTGCTACAGAGTAAGACATAACGAATTGATGCTTTGTCATCCTTCTATGACGACATTTTAGGAATGCAAGAAATATTATTTATTGATATGTTTTCAGTTTAGAGTGTTTTTTTTAAATTGTAATTACTGGGAATTCCGTAAATAGCAGAACAAAAACCAAAAAGATCTGTGTTTATATAGAAATCCTTATATCAAAACCAGGCAAGTACATGATACCCATCTAGAAAATTCCTGTAAAATGTATTAGGGATAAAACCAATGAGTTTCTGTAGTTATTAATGGGAAATCTATAGTTATTACTGTAAAATCCTATAGAATAAATAGAAAATGTATTACTATAGAGTTCTTTAGGCTAGTTTAAAAATTCAATGGAAACATTATTCTTTATTTAATTCTATAGGATTTTTCCATAGGGGTTTGAGGTTAATATGATTAATTGAATATAATATGAAACTAAATTCCATCAAAGGATATTTTTTCCTGTGCTATTTAGGAAACTGCCAGGCAGAAATGTCTATGCCCAGATGCACAATGAAAAGGAACAGGAGATGACCAGCCCTGTTAATCACAGTGAGGACACCCAGAACATCATCCAGGGTGAGGAGTTTATTGATGATGATCTGGATTCTCAGACGCTAGGTAACGCAAGAGGTAACTTCACCTTCACTTTATTAATGTCTCAATTAGTATTTTATTTGTTCTATTTTTTAAATTATGTTTTAATGTTTACTCAGCTTCAAGAGGGATCGAATGGTAAACTGCTAACAAGGAAACACTTCTCCTTTTATCCTTTGTTTTTGTTTTAAATTCAGTCTATTCTGTTGATTTTTTATGACATGCCATATAAATACACAGTATGTAAGGTAGTACAATACACTGTCATGAGACATATGTGAACAACATTAGGAAGATCATACAAAAAGCAGCATAGACTATTATTGATTAACTTCACTAGCATTTAAATTAACTTGTACATGCCTTGAATTCGAAGTGTAATGAATTTTAGGCAGAGAGAAATGATATGTAGAATGAATGTTTCCATAATGCAGGGTAGATTGTAAGGAGGTGTCCTCTCTTTTAGACACCTTAAATGAATTCCCAAATACAAAACTTCATTGAATTGATCCTATTTTGAGTCCTGACCTGCCAGTATCCAATGGACAGTCATTAGAATTCCCATTCAAGAATCTTTTATGAATGTCTCTTAGAGCAGATGATTCAAAGTTAGATGAAAGGGCTTGTCTAGGCAATTCATGAGTATGCTGAATGTAATGTAGAGAGCTAGTCTAAAAATACTCCAAATGTATTGAGAACACAGAGCAGCCTGAAAAGTGTAGCACACAAAGGAAGATCGTCTAGTGCTGTTTCTGACAACTCTGTGAAAATGGAACATCTGACCCTAAATCTCAGGCTTATAAAACTGGCTGAATTGATGGTAGAGACAACTGTGAGGTTAAATGGCTTCATTAACCCTACATGGAGGGCTAAGATCAGCCACGGAGGGCAGACATCCTGGAAGTCCTTAATTTCTTTTTTATTCTTACTGTCTATCTCTAACTGCCTTTTGTTGTTTTTATTTTCCTTAGCTGAACCATATGCTGCCACTGAAAGGGAAAAAAACATATTTGACCTGCAAAATTGTGTTTGCCCAGATCTGTACATTTTTTAACAAATTGCACACACTAAAATCATTGTTGTTTTCATTAAAACCCTTCAGAGAGAACCTTGATTATATCACAAAGCTCTACCAATACTGTAGAACTGCAAATGACCCTGGTACACAAAAATTGTTTGCATGACAAGTTTGTTTCAATTATCTCATCTCTAGAATAGAGTCCTGAATGCTAAGAAGGTATACTCAGGGTTCTTCAGTTAGTGTGAAGCACTCATAGCCCCTTAGCGTATATCCAGTACTCTATAATCTTCCTCTTGCAGTTGTGTAATACCTCTCACTGTTTTTGCATATGTGGCTGCTTAGGATGAAGGACATGGGAATGAAGAAGTTCTACCCTGATTTACAACCCATTCAAAAATAATCTCCTTGCCTGCTCACTGTAGGCTATATTTGGTCTGATCCTGCACTCCTTACCTTCCATTGGGGTCAATAAGAGTGTTGATTGAGTAAGGAGTTCAGGACCGAGACCTGCCAATGATGAAGTCTTAAGTTAGACAGTTAACAAATGCAAATCTGAATGTGACCTGTAGTTCTGCCAGGTTGTCAGCACCAGCACACATCCAGAGGAACAGGAATAGCTCATGTCCTTGGGTCAGAGCCATGTATGTTTATCAGCTGCCAGCCAGTTTTAAGACATAAGACTTTTTCTTGCTATACTTCTATACCATGCACTTTTTTGTTATTTGCAGTATTTCCTTCAATAGCACCCAGCGCTACATAGGAAATCTTCCTAGTTGTCTCAATATTGTGCTATTTTGTCTGGCTGAAGTATGAAGCATGTCACCATCCCTATTGAAATATTAAATTCTGTTTTATGACATTATTTCCAGATGGTTCGTATGCTATGGAGATTCCTACTTATTCTGATGGGTTTTCCCCCCAACTCTAGAGCCTCCTCTCCATGCACAGCAGGGTTTTACAAACCTAGTTTTCTGTTTGCTCTCTCTCTTTTCATAACTTTTGAATTGTCACAGTACAGTATTTCCAGACTCACCCATCCACTTTTTTTGTTTTCTATATATTTTATGTTGCCTACTTTATCGCAACCCCCACCTTGGGACTCCTCAACTCCATTTCCTTGCAGTGACTCCTTCTGGGAGAGGTGGAAACTTGAACAGCTACAGAGTTCCCTTATTGCTGATGCCGGTCAGTGTCCAGTCCCAGGTCAGTGGCATGTTGAATGGAAGCCTCAGGTTCCATTCTCCTCCCTCACCTGCTCCCCTCAAGACAACTACACCTTTTTAAGCTGCAAAGAGAACCACCTTATGCTGTCACTGGGATAGAAACACTAGGAATTCACTAACAGCCATCAGGAGCAGACACTTTAAAGCACTGAAGTAGAAAGTATGCTGTAGGTACACTGAGCTGCTGCACCACCTGCACCTGAACTGTTGTGTGATAAGACGACCATCTAATTTGATTGACTTGTCTCTGCAATAAAAGGGGAATGTATAGTAAAATGCTCAAAATATACTAATGTTAGCATTTTGTTTTTATATTTTTTTAGGCAATCACTCAGGCGTGGTTTTGAGCATTAACTCCAGAGAGATGCACAGTTACCTGGTTAGCTGATGTTTACAGCTGAACACAAAAACCGAAAGACTCTTCTCTGTATTGTTTAATTTTTCCCTGGGGATGTCACCAAATTGCAAACATGGCTGTACCTGCTGGTGGAAAGTAGGTTCCTAAACAGTCTTGAAACGACAAGTGTCCATCATCTGTTACTGTAGACTGGGAACTTGTTACAATTGAAACTCAAACTAAGGTAGCACATTTGTAGCCCTAGGCACACTAGATGCCACATTTTCTCTTTTCTGTATATGTTCTAGTTCTTTATGTTCAGTTTTAGAAGGACTGGACTTTAGTTCTTTTTATTGGGGGTGTTCAATGGAAGACTGAAATTCAGCAGCCCTGAATTGTTGACTTTAAAAACCAGTGACTAGTAAGTACAAAGCAGATGGCTGGTTGGTCGCTACAAATTTGTACTTGTTTAAAAGGCTGTGACTGCCTGTTCTGGTTCAGCACTAAGAGAGGAATGAGCAAGGAGATAAATGTACTCCTTAGCTCCTCTTCAATCCAAGTTCTTACCTTTAAAAGGTGTGAGACAATCTAATGAGCTTCAGCTCACTATGTGAGTCCCTGCTATAAATTGAGTAAGTAATGTGTTAAGACTTCTTGCAAGTAAAATGAGGCCTAAGAAGCCCCCAGCACCACTCCCTCACCCCACACCCAACCCACCCAAAAAAACCCACTAGCTTGGTGCTACTTCCAGACCAGGTGCTTTCACTTCTAGAGGCCGGTTGGTTTAAGTTGCTCTTCTGTCATCTTCTAACTTGAGCACCTCCATCATGGCAGTTGCAAGACCAGTTCTTATATAATAAACAGTTCTGACTGCCTGTCCCTTTTTCTCTTTTTAAAAATGTAAATACCTCTTTTAAGTAGCTTTTTGTATGTTTTTTTTTAATTTCTATTTTGAGGGCAGAGGCCCAATATATGTACGAATTCTCCCCCAACTAGGTCAGTGCAGCACACCAGAACCTTTAGTTCTACAGATACTTGGAGTTTCCCTTTGTGTTCAGTTCCTGCCTCTGATGTAAGGATGGGCAAACTCACAGCTGAACTTCACCACCTTTGACGTGTTTGACAACCAGGAAGGATCGGAGCAGGGAACTGATGCAATTTAAGGGATTGCACTTCATCAGTTTCACCACCGGGTGTCACTCTTTGTCCCTCATCACTGAGCTGGGCCATATTTCTGTAGGGAAGGGCAGTGAAACTGTCAAAGGAGCCAGATTGGGAAAGGCATGTGGGTCAGTTCAGAGTTTGCTTATCCTGATCTCTCTATCCCCAGGGGTTGAGAGTCCTGAGGTCATCACTAAATCCACATCTTGCAGGTTGTTTGTATGTGGGTTTTTGTAGGGATTTGTGTAGGAAATGAACCACAGCATGGTTCAGCCAAGTGTTTGACATCCCCCATGTATCACAGCTGCCTGGAATTAGGACACTCTCTCAGAAACCTATTTAATCTTTTCACCTTTTGCCTTCAACGGGGGATGACTAGCTCTTTTTTACTCACTGAATGTTGTACTAATGCTTGTAGCTAAATGTCCATGCCACCTTCCTTAAAGGGATTATAGTCAACTATATACTTGTGAATGACCAAGCAGTCACGCCGGTGAGACAGAATGGCACTATCTAAAAATTCTCCTATGCAGTAGGTCGCTCTTCCATGTAGCCAGGGAATTAATGATATCATGGAATATGCTTTCTTCAGAAACAACATATTAGCATGCCACCTCCTATGTGGCAATATAAGCTCTCACAAAGCTCACAGAATCTGTGTGTAAAGCACAAGAAAATCTGGTTTAGGGACTAACAGTATGAAAGTGGATGGGAACATGTAAGGTGTGAATGCTTGAAAAGAGTGGTAAGTGCATGCCAGCTGCTCAGGAAAAAGTCTGTTTGTAACCATCTCACAGAAATTTCATCTTGCAAAGCCCTACAGGGCCCTGCAAACTAACCCACAGAGAGACAGGAAATACTTGAGTTGACAATGCTGTATGCAGGACTAAGTATAATTCTGACACAGTCATAAGAACCAAAGACCAAAGGTCCAACTAGCCCAGTATCCTGTCTTCTGACAGTGCCCAATGCCAGGTGCCCGAGAGGGAATGAACAGAACAGGCAATCATCAAGTGATCCATTCCCTGTCACCCATTCCCAGCTTCTGGCAAACAGAGTCTAGGGACACCATCCCTGCCCATCCTGGCTAATAGCCATTGGTGGACCTATCCTCCATGAACTTATCTAATTCTTTTTTTAACCCTGTTATAGTCTTGGCCTTCACAACATCCTCCATTCACCCATTAGTGTCTGAGTCCTGGATTTTCTGAGGTGAAGTGTCAATACAAAATACATTAGTGCTTTGGAAGCCTTCAGGACTGTTGCACCATGCGCTTGCCCTGTTCACCAGCTCCTTACTGCTTTTAGGGGAAATGAACTAGAAACAATAAGAGTGGAAAAAAAATATATATATATGGAGATATACCTATCTCATAGAGCTGGAAGGGACCCTGAAAGGTCATTGAATCCAGCCCCCTGCCTTCACTATCAGGACCAAGTACTGATTTTGCCCCAGGTGGCCCCCTCAAGGATTAAACTCACAACCCTGCGTTTAGCAGGCTAATGCTCAAACCACTGAGCTATCCCTCCCCCCAGCAATGTTGCAAACAACTTTTTCTGGGAAGTAAATTCAAAATAGGGCAGGGGCGTGGAGGATTGAACTCTTGAATAATGTAAAGAATTGAACTTCTATATTAGAGTCTTTTTGTTGGTCTGCCTGCTGGGTAAGGGAATTATAGGGCCTAGTTCACATACACTAATTTTATGCTTTGACAACTATTCTTATACATTTACAACAGTTTGATTCATGTTTCTGTTGGCAGGAAACTGCTACTGCAAAGCAAAATATTTAACTGATGTGTAAGACTCTACTAGTCATTATCATTAATACTTAGCACTTATGTACGGTGCTTGTAATCTTCCCAGCATTTTCCAACATTAACTAATTTAATTCTTGAAACACACCTGTGAGGTTGGTATAACATGACTCACAAATGTGGTGAGACACTGTTTTCTGAGGAGTTTTCAGTATTGCCATGTCTGTGTAAATAATAGCCAGTAGATAATAAATCAAGTCTTTTGAGTTCCTGACCAGAATGCCTTTATAATGGATTATTTCTAAAATGGGAGGATGTCATTCCCATGCAGTGCAACTTGTTTTTTGTTTAAATGAAAACTCATACCACTGGTAGATTTTGTATCTGTTTAACTATGCCCACGGGAGCACATTTTCTTTTTAAAGGGAAGAAGTGTGTATATACACACACACTTTTGTATCTCTTTATACAGAGAGATGGACAAATGCACAGAAATATATATGTACACACGTGTGTATATCACACATCTATAGATATGCACAGAGGCACACACACACACATAAACTCTTATAATTATATTAAGTTCTAAGTGAGGAAGGACAATATTATGGGTAAGGAACAGGACTTGGGAAACAGGTGATAGGGAACAGGACTTGGGAAAGAAGGTCTTTCAAGATATTTAGATGCCTAACTCATGAGAATTAGGTACCTAAATAACTTCAAAAATCTGGGTCTTAACCTGTATGTACCTAAGTTTCCCCATCTATAAAATGGGGATGATAATACTTACTTATTTCATAGGGATATCATGAGGCTAAATGTATTACTCTTTGTTTGAGATCCTCCAAATGAAAGGACTATAAGTGCAAAGTATTAATCATTAATATTTCTTTTTCTTAATTATTGTTATGATTAAAAGTATCATTTAAAAGGTTATGAATAAGTATGAAAACCAATAGCCCCACACAAAGGTGTTAAGAGTATTAAAAAGCAAAAATGTAGTTTCAATCAAAAACAGCTTATGGAATAGCTAATTGTGTGTTGGCATCGTGACATTGCCGTTGATTTGCTAATCTGCACACAGCTTACTAATGTCTTAAATTTATTTGCATTCTGCAATGTTAATGGGTAAAAGGCCTTATAATGTGGGTTCAGTGAGCCACCCACCACATTGACGTCTACCAGTGCTGGTACTGGACTATAGCAAAGACTATAACAGCATAACTGGCAATATGTTGGCCTCATCTACACGTTGTGGCCTTCTTAGAATGCCAAGTGTCTAACACTGTAAAAAGCATGCCTTGAGTTCTAGAATGATCCTGGGAGCCTTGGCTCCTTCTCAGTAAGGCTGTCTTAAACAGAACCTAGGGTTAGGGCTGCCAGCTTCGATTTCCTCTCTCCATTATGTGGAACAGCTTCCTGTGGCTGATTTAGACAATTTCATTTCAGTTCTAAAACACTTCCTCCGTAGCAAGCTGCAGCATACTCACAAATGCATCCAAGAGGTTTACGCACCCCCTCCCACCTCCCCGACATTGTATAAGTGAACTTCTCAAAAATTAAAGCAATAAACTCCAAGGTGTGTCTGTGATACCTTTGAGGCCCAGTTCATTGTGGTCCAGCCCCTTGTGTAGTCATTTACACCAGGTTCAAGTGGGTGTAAAATGCTTCCTTATTAGAATGCTGAGTAGTTCTTTCCTCCTTAAACAGTCCTCAGATTGAGTCATACATTTCCCCTCAAATAGTCACACTGAAATGAATGGAGGTACTAGAGGAGAAAGGTATTAATCGATGTGAGAAAGGGTAGTACAGGCTAGCCCCGTGTTAACAACTGTTCAATATTTGCAAGTGAAATAAGTTGGCAATACTCTAGTTGTACGTACAACTATTTAGGGATAGATTTTGATACCCTTAAGCATACTGTGTAGTAATTTACTCCACGAATAGCCCTATTTGAGTTCAATGGGACCACTCATGGAGGAAACAGTAAAATCTGAGTAAGGGTGTCAGAATCAGGCGCTGGGGTACAGCAAGATTTTCCCTCTTTCATTCTGCATCCTGTTTACCTTTTTTTAGTTTGAGCCAGATCCTGATACCCTGAATTGTATCTTACTTGAGTGGTATGATTTCAATGGGATTAATCAAGGATTCAGGTGCTTTTCAGCATGAGTAAGGATATCAAATTCTGGTGCTTTAGTTCTATAATTACTGCTGGTTGGACTAGTGTAGCCAGATCAGTGTCTCTCCATGTATTACCAGGGGCTGGTACAAGAATGAGGCATTTTTCACCTAACCTTTTAATGATTACTACTTGTTTTGCCTTTTTGATTAAAAATCCTTTCTAAGGTTTTTGGGGCTCTTCTGCCCGTAGATAGTGCCTCTTGAACTGAGGTCAGTGAAATGTAACTGCAGTGGTGGCTATTCTCCTCTACGCTGTGTGATCCTGTGTGCGAAGAGAGACTTTTCTTTCTCAAAGAATAAGAAATATGTTCATTTGTTTGCAGTCTTCTTGACCATGAACCATTTTGGCTGTAGGTGTGTTTTGAATTTTTAGACTTATCAAAAGTTTACTACATCATAAATAGGCTTGTGGCTATTTTCATTCAAATCATAGGTTTTACCACATACCCAATTTTATTTCATTGAAAAAATAGATTTATTTTTGTTTTTTGAGGGGAAGGGTTTTTTTTATTGCCTATTCATTGGCATTCAAAGTCTTTATTATACATGAGCATTTGATTGATACAGTGCTAAAGTCACCATCTCCATTTATATTTCAGCTGTTTTAGATTAAAATAAAAACTTCACATTATGTCCAAAATAATGAATTTTGGTTAGGAAGTTATTTTCAAGCATTTAACTTTTAGTATGTATTTCTCAGATCATTTCCAATTCAAAAATTCTATGATCTATGAGCTCACCAGTCCATTCAAATGTAAACTTATTCCCAGCACATTTTCTGTTGTTTTCTCCAGTCTAGTCCCAAATGAATATGGCTTCCA